CAGGCCATGTTTTTGTCAATTACTTGTTCTGATTAAGAAAGTCAGACAATGACTAAGGATGACAGAATAAGACTAGATGCCTTCGTGTTGTGATGCTGGAGAGGAGCCTTGAACATACCATGGACTGCCAAGAAAACAAATTGGTCTGTCTTGGAGAGAGTGAAACTACGTATCTCCTTCGAGGCTAGGATTTTGAAGCTCTGCCTCACTTTCTTTGGGCATGTGGCCAGGAGAGATCAGTCCTTGCATGCTCAGAAGGGTGGAAAGACAGCATAGGAGAGGGAGACCCCAGATGAGATGGATTGATACAGAAACTGGGGCAATGGGGGTTGGTGTGTCAGAATTAAGGAGACTGGCTCAGGGCAGGGAAGGTTTCAGAGCTTCCCCTGCATAGGATCTCTATGCATTGTCGACAACTCAACCAATAACATTCTATGACAAGTTTGCAAGCAGGAGTGTCATCCACTTCCTAAACAACTTGCCTCCGGAAACTCTATGAACTTTGATAAATGACAATAGTTGTGGAGAATTTTCTGGCATTCTGTTCATAGAGTCACTGTGAGTTGTTCTCGACTCGATAATCAACAAGAACAACATACATCTGAGAGCTGGGCAATGAATAAGGAAGAAGAGTTGATGCCCTTGAGTGGTGGTACTGGAGAAGCATATGAAATATCCCATCGACTGTCAAATGAACAAACAAAAATATCTTGGAGAATGTGCAGCCAGAGTGCTTCTTAGAGGCAAAGATGGTGAAGCTTCACCCACATATTTTGGGTTGTTCTTGTTGTTATGTGCCGTCTAGTTGCCTGCAACTTATAGCAACCCTATGTACGTACAACAGCCCTAAAGTCTGCCCTATCCTGTGCCAATCTCACCATCTCCAACACACCTGCCCCCATTATTACCAAACCAAACCTGTGAACAATCTCAATCTCTTCACCATCCATTATGACATTGCCAATTGGCCCAGTGGTGAGAATCTTTGTTTTCTTGATTTTGAGTCTCAATCCATACTGAAGACTGCAGTCCCTGAACTTCCACAGCAAGTACTTCAGGTCCTCTTCAGTTTCAGCAAGCAAGGTTGTGTCATCTGCATAATGCAGATTGTTGATGATTCTTCACCTAATCCTGATGCCACATTTCTCTTCATAAAGCCCAGCATCCTAGATAACCTGTTCTGCATAAAGATTGAAAAGGTATGGAGATAGGATACAGTCCTGGCGTACACCCTTCCCTATTTTGAACCATGCAGTGTTTCCTTGTTCTGTTCTGACAATTGCCTCCTTGTCCAAGTATAGGTTTTACATTCGCACAATCAGGTGTACTGGGATTCCCATTCTTCTCAGAGTCAGCCACAGTTTGTTATGATCCACACTGTCAAATGCTTTTGCATAATCAATGAAACAAAGATATTTCATGTGCATTGTTGTTATTGAGTGCTGATGAGTCTGAACCGAGTTATAGCTGACCTTAGCAGAATAGGAGAGGCTAATTCTTGCAAAGCACAGCATATTTGGAAAGGTGGATGGTCAGGGAAAGAGAGTCAGGTCCTCACTGGGATAGATTGAAAGAGTGGGCTCAAGTGTGTCAGAGAGGATGCAGATGACAAAGGATAAGACATCCTTCAGATCTGTTGTTCATAGTGCTGATATGAGTCATATTCGACTTGATGGCACCTAACAACAATATAATGAAAAGACACATTACTCTTTAATATATTATTAGAGGAATACTAGTTTTCTATTACTTTCTTGCTTGTTACAGCAGTGCATCTCAGAAGTGCAAATCTATTAGTGGGTCTGGAGAAAGATGGACAATCTGCTTCAGCATGATTTACAGCCCTCTGAAAATCTAAAAGGTCTACTGTGCTTCAGTTCTGACTTGATAGCAATGAATTGAGCAAACCTAGAAACCTTTCAGGTTGCATCTGTCTTGTGTCCTTTCCTAAATTTTCTCTCTAAAGGTTTGAGAATGTTATGATTCTTCCTTTCATGCTGTGTCACTCCCATGGAGCTTTTTCTATTCCATAGGATTGCAGTGCAGATTTTTACCATTAGGCCACCAGAGCTCCTATTTATCTACTCTATGTTGTTGTTGTTGTGTACAACTGAGTCTGAACCGACTCATAGCTAACCCTCCAGCTGGTTTTCAAAGGCAGTTAATCACAAGGGAAGAGACTGCCCATGCTTCTCCCGCAGTGCAACTGGTGGCAAGTGCTTGCTATCAGGATGGCAACACAGCTTCTTGCCACTAGGCCACCAGAGCTCCCTTATCTATTCTATAGTAAACTCATTTGCTTTACTCATTCCTGGGTTTCATAATTTTCTATGACAAAAGGATATGGAAGAAGATACTAAGATCTATGTAGCTTAGTACTTGCGAACAGTAATGGAGTTTTATTACATACCATGATTTGGTATTTGTAAACTGATGGAAGCCTGGTACACACAAAAAATATCAGATGAGGCATTTATTGTTATATTTTTTTCCTTAGATGAAAAAAAAAAGCCAAAACTAAAAGAAAAGTGGTGGTGGTTGTTCTATGTTGCCAAGTCCACTATAATTCACAGCATCCCTATGAACAACAGAGAGGAACATTGTTATATCCTGCTCCATCCTCACCATCTCTGACATGCTTGAGCCCATTGCTACAAATGTTTTGTCAATCCATCTTTGGATTGTAGTATTTGAGGGTTTTTCATTTCTTTCTGTTACTCTTGACCCTTTCTTGCATGAAGACTTACTCTAAGCATTCCCCTTCCTTGACAACATGCCCTAAGTATGTGGGAGAGTTTTGTTAGGGTCGGAATTGGATAAGTCAGACACAAAATAAGGCTGGGTAGAAAGAGTGCTAAAGTAAGTACCAATGAAATAAGAAAAGCCTTAAAAGTCATGTGAAGAGCCAGTAGAAGGTAAAGATTAAAGGAAGTGACTAGGACCAAGCCCTACCCAGTTAGAACCTAGGAACAAAAGACCAAAGTGCCTCCTAATCCTGACATGTAGAGTTGAGGCTGCTCCTTGAAGCAGCTGGATTTAGGTGCACGAGCGGTGTCAAGAACAATGAAACACAATCACCCACCAAAGTTTTTCTGCAACACCATCCCATTGGCCCAGATTCAAGCTCAAATCACGCCCAAATGCAGGAGCAAGCCGGCTATATTAAGCCATGACACATGTGGTAAAGCATCTTTTCCCACCTCTTTGCTTCTGGAGAAAAGACTCTCTTGTATCTATCTTTTCTTTCTTTCTTTTTTTTTTATTAATTTCAATGAACATCTACAGATTTTGGATTTTCATTCATTCATTGTTGCACTTTTCTCCCCGCCCACTCCTCCCCCGCCCCCACCCCACCCCCAGTTCGCTCTTCTCCTTGAAAAGCAAAAGAAAAACTCCTTCATTGGTATACAATCCACCCCCCCACCCCATCTGGAGTATACTCCACTCTGCAACCCTCATTCCAGACTCTTATGATAATCATAATGCCCTAAAATATATTACTTTTAAACTATTCTTTCCCTCATTGGCTTCAATGCAGTATGTATCTTTTCTAATGAAACTATTTTTACTTTCACCTTCATGTCTGTTCCCTTGCCTTTCATTTTAACTGCTTGTTGTAATAAGGGTGTGACCCAGGTCAAGATTAAGTTGAGCAGGACATACATATCAGGCCAAAACTAGGGGATTAATCCACAATCTTACCTTTCTGTTTCTCACATTTGGTTCAAGCCTTTGTCGAACCAAAGGAGGCTGAAGCAGGGCATTCATCACATGGTTAAGTTTCACCATCCTTGCCTCTAAGGAGCATCTTGTTTGCACTTTTTCTGAGAAAAACTTGTGTTTATTGTTTTGGCAGTCCATGGAACATTCTACAATTCCACAGGATCAATATTTCTTTTACCATCTTTGTACATTGTCCAACTTTCAGATCTATAAGCAACTGAAAAGACCAGGACTTTGATCATGCACACCTTAGTCTTTAAACGGACATCTTTTTTCTTTAGCACTTTAGAGAAGGTTTTGACAGCAGCTTTTCTCAACGGGACACATCTTCTTTTGATATTTTACTTTTACTTGACTATGAGTGTTGAATGTGGATCCACGTAACACAAAGTTGTTAACAATTGAAGTTGTTAACAACTTCAATCTTTTCTCCATATTGTCTTTAGGTCAATTGGTGAGGACATTGTTTTCTTGATGCTGAGATACAACATATATTTGTCCCATACTTTGAACATGTTGCTATGCTAGGCTCTTCTTTGGAAAGGAGCACAGTGCTTGGAAAGATGACCAGTGAAGGAGAGGAGGAGTCCAACTAGACGATTGAAACAGTGCTGACTTCAGCAATGGACTCTAGTGTCAGAGACGATTAGGATGGTGCAGGTTAAGGCAGGGTTCCAGATGACTATTCATAAGGTCGCTTTAAGTCGTACTTGACTACAAGGCACAGAACATACACCACCAAGGAAGAGGGAACTCTAGTGTCGTAGTGATAATAAGCTGTTCTGTAATTCTAGAGGCACAAGGTTCAAATACACCAGAAGCGCTGCAGGAGTATTGGCAATCTCCTCCTACGCGATCTGCTGTCTCTAAAAACCTGCTAGAGGGCACACACACATCAAGCTGGAGACAGTGACACTGGATGTTTCAGTAACTAGACTTTTTTTAAGAATTGGAGTTGCTAACTTTTATTTTAGTGGGCCATCTGACAGCGTGAACTGTCCCTCCCACTACTTCAGCCCCCACGCTCTTCTTCCTTTGGTCTCTCGCCCCTCCCAGAAGACAAAACTTGGCTAAGCTCCATTCCGGGAGATGGTCCCGGAAGCAGACACGTGCCCCGCGTCGCGCGCGGCATGACGTCACCGGTGCGCGCCGCCCTTCGGGCGTGAGGCGGGACTGTGGGTCTGACAGGGCGGAGGCGGGGCGGGTTAGAGACGATCCCCGGGCCTAGGAGTCTCAGCTGTCGCTGTCCGAGGAATCGCCTCACTTCCCCAGGTCCTGTCCTTCGGGGCCCAGTCGAGCCGGGTGGCGTCAGCGGCCTAGCTCGGAGGGGCACCAGTGCCTCTAATACGGCGCCATGTCAGGCGCGGTGACAGCCCTGTAAGGCCGCGGCCGCGGAGCTGGGCGGCGGCGGGGCCCGGCCGGTTCTGCTCATGGTGCCGCCACGACGCCATCGCGGGGCAGTAAAGCCAGGTAGGGAGGATCCATGTCTCCCACCCGAGGCCGAGGTCCCATGGACTGCAGGGTTTCCCTCCTTGGTGGCAGTCGGGGTGCCCTGACCGAAATGGGGACCTTTCTTAGGGACGGGGTAGCTGCCAAGGCACCCGGAGCCGTGCTGACCTGAACGCTGTGGACACTGCTAGTCGGTGGTCCAGTGCACTCTCTGGGTCCCTGACCCTGTAAGAATGCTTTGCTGTCTAGTTAAAGAGGAAGAGGAGCCACTGTGGCAGCTGTTTCCTCCCCAGGCCCTCTCCTGTTTGGGTCTGAAATGCAGTGACAGGGTTAGGTGGGGGAGTGGTGAGGGTCAGTTGCCCTCCCAGAGTGAGGCGATTGCAGAGGTGCCTCAGGACCCACAACAAATTTCCTCGCTCTCAAGTAACCCACTCCCAAGAGAGGAGATAGAGACAGAAAAGACACCTTTAGACATAGGCTTGGTCTAGAGTCCTTCCTGGGTGAATCCTCTGCAGCCAGAAGCAGGCTGTGATCTCAGGACATTCTGTGAGGCCATTGCCCAGCAGCCGACTGTTGCTTAAACATATGGTTCATGCTTGCTTTTGCTATGTGTGTATGTACTTTTTTTTATTATTATTAAATTTTATTAGTTTCAATGAACATTCACAGGGATTCTGGGCTTTCACTCCTTCATTGCTGCACCATTCTCTCCACCCTCCTCCCCAGTTTGTTCTTCTTCCCCGCCATCCGAATGTCTGTTTTAACTGTCCAATTGCCTCGGTGCTTGTCAAAGTCAGTTCTGATTAATCTCCTTTGTCGGTGTGTCCTTTGCCATTCCCTATCACTCCTCCCTGAGAGAGACTTCACCCTGATTGTGTGTATGTACTTTTGAGATCCTAGTCTGAAATGTTGGGTGGATGTTGTTGTTGTTGTTATGTGCCTTCGAGTCGTCTGCGACTAGAATTTAGAACAAAGTCGCCTGTTGCAGTTAATACATTTTAATGGGTCCCCCCTTCCTTTATTTGACTTCAATTTGAAGATAATAAAAGAGTGTTGTAACTCTTATTTGAACCTGGCTGTTTTCACAAGCATTGTCCATTTTTTAGGTGGGCTGAGTTCTTCACCCCCTTTGAGACTCAGATTTGCCCAGTTTCCAGGCATTACTTTTGAAGACCTCAGAAAAGCCCTTAAAATCAGGTAAGTTGCAAACCATTTCTTTCCCATGTGGTTTTTTATCATAATTGCCACTTGTTTCTGTTACCAGATTTCTCTCTCATTTTTATAAGATTAGCTTTAAAAAAATAATTTCTGATTTGATCTGTATTTCTCTAAAAACCCAGACAACAGATGGTTTGTGTGTTTAACATGAACCACATCAATTCCCAGAGCAGTGGGTTCACACAGCGCAGGCGGATGGCTCTTGGGATTGTTATTCTCCTACTTGTTGATGTGATCTGGGTGGCTTCCTCGGAACTTACTTCGGTATGTAATTTTATTCTAGGGGTAGTCCTACATTGGAATAATAAGTATTAATGTTAAGTTTGAGTATCCAAGCCACTATTATGTCACACTAAGGAAAAGCAGTATTTTTAATATTGTGAAACTGTATTTTCTCTGATAATTAATTAGTGGCACAGAGCTGACACTTAAAGGATATTCCTTTTCTTGTTTCACACAGTTTTTGTGTATTTTTTAGAAAGAGTAATTAGAAACAGATACTTTATACCTAATTTTTTAACATTTCAAGGTTTTTCTATTGGTCATTTTAAAATGCAGTTCTTTTTTTATAGAAATGTTATTTTCTAGTGGAATATAGCAGTGGGATTTTCAAAACTTGGGCTAATTCTTAGTCAGTCCTTCAGACATAGCTCAAGATTTCCTCTGTTGGGGAAACTTCTCCATAATCTTCAAACTAATCTACCAACCTTTGATATTACCCTAACACCTTGAATGCCCCTATAATGCTAATTGGACACATTCCATGGTAATCTCCTCCCATGCAATTAACTGCTTATGAAAACCAGCTGGAGGGTCAGGTATGGATGTTTCCAACTCTATGCTATACAATGATAAACTAGAGTGCAAGCTCCTCAAGGGCAGGAAAGCCTATACAGGTCCCACTGCTTAGAAGGTTTTCAGTGAATGCTCAATAGGATATTTTGCAGATCTCTGCTTTTTGCTTAGGAATACTATACTTGTATACAGTATTCAGAAGTGAATATAAATTTTAATATAGTCTTTTTTGATCTTGTTCTTCAAATTAACATCTTACAAATTAAAAAAAATAATGTAATGGCCTTATATTTCTGGAGATAAGATTTTAAGTAAGATTTAAAGTCATCTCATATTTGTCTTTGTAATTTTTTTTCTCTATAGTATGTTTTCACTCAGTACAACAAACCATTCTTCAGCACCTTTGCAAAGACATCTATGTTTGTTCTATACCTCTTCGGTTTTATTATTTGGAAGCCATGGAGACAACAGTGTACAAGAGGATTTCGAGGAAAACATGCTGCTTTTGTAAGTTTAAGTAATTTTTTTTAAAAAAAATTATAAGTATTTGGTGGAGAAATTATATTTTTTCTGTTTTAAAATTTTATACTGATTAATTTACAAAGTTTGAATATGTTGTTTTTCACAAAAGGGAAATTATATTTTAAACTTTAAAGTTTAAAGATATATTAATCTCTTTAAAGATATTCAGATGTAAATTTAACTAAGTGCATGAAGTAGTATAAGAGACATAGATGCTTTTTTTAAAATTTTTTTCTCTACTAGTTCATTTACCCTTACCCCCCCTATCAAATTGTACAATCCAGTGATTAATCCCCTCTTCCCCCTGCACGTCCATATTCCTCTGCTTCCAGCCTTCCCCACCCCTCCTGGATTCTTATATTCATTTTACAATAATGGATTTTTACAATATTTATCCTTAGGGGACTGAGTTCGTTCACTCAGCATAATGCTCTCCAGTCCCTCCCAAGTTAGGTAATAATATACAAAGTTATTGCTCCTGTGTGCTGCGTAGTATTCCATTGTGTGAATGTAACATAATTTCTCAATCCATTAGTTTGTGGTTAGACATTCGGGCCCTTTCCATGTTCTTCGATGGTGAATAATGCTGCTATGAACATTGGTTTACAAATCTCAGTTTGTGCCTCAGTTCTCATATATCCTCAATGTATATTCCAAGTAATGGGTCATATTCTTCTGATCCACTTGTTATCAAATTCCTTAAGTGAAATGAAAAGAACATTATCACTTTCTCCGCTTTCTACAATCTTTGAGTCATTACCCAACTGGATATTATGGTTAGATATCATAGTGTCAACTTCTCATGGCATCTGTGAACAGCTGATTAAAACCCTTGCCTTGTCCTTTTTCATTCTTATAATCTCTGCCGTGATCAAGCCCATTATTGCATTATGTCCATCCATCTCCTTGAAGGTCTTCTTCTCTTTACCTACTATACTTTTGCAAGCATAATGCCTTTTTTTTCCTAAGGCTTGATACCTCCTGATAAATGCCAAAAAAATGTGACACAAGGTTTCACCATCGTTGCCTTCAAGGAGCACCTAGTATTCTCTTACTTCAAGATAGACTTGTTTGGATTTTTGGTCATCCATGGGATAGTCAATGCACTTCACTAACAATTCAAAGACATTCATTCTTTAGTTTTCGTTACTCATTGTCCAACTTATAGAAGCATGGAAAATAATTTAAAATACTGTGGTTTGAGTCAGGTGCACGTGAGTGTTTAAATTGACATACTTGCTCTTCAGCACTTCAGAAATCTTCCTGACAGCAAAGTAACCCAAAGCAACAGGTCTTTTGATCTTTTTTTTTTTTGACTGCTGTTACCATAGTTGTTGGTTGGGATCTAATCAAAATGAAATAATTTTTTACTAACTGAAACCTTGATAATAGGAAGAAAGACTATTTTCTCCCTAAATTTTATTTATCTTATTGTAGAGAATATATACAGTAAAATGTACCCTAGTTCACTAGTTTCTGCATATTCTAGTGGCATTGATCATATTTTTTGAGTTGTACAACTTTTTTTTTAGTTGCACAACCATTTTCACCCCCCCTTTTAAGCTGTTTCTTTCCCATAACCTAAATTCATTACCTCCTAAGGCTCCTGTCTAATCTGTGAAGTTACTTTTGTCACTTTGATCCCGTGCAGATAGTTGGGTTTTTTCCTCTCTGCAAGGGCTTTATTCGTACAAATTTGGCTTTGTAACATTAGTTATAATTCTTTAATGTAATTAATTATAGTATCTCCTCAAGTCCTTGTTGTATATTGCATTTTCCTTCACTCAATTTATCTATTAGTTTTTGCTCCCTTCTCTTTTCTGTTAACCCTCCAAGATTGATTATATCTGTGTTAAACTCTTCCTTTAGGGAGCTCTGGTGGCCTAGAGGTAAGAATCTTAGCTGCAATCCCTAAGGTACACAGTTTGATCTGCCAGCTGCTAGAGGGGGCGGAGAAGGCTAGGCTATCTTATCTCCTCCCATGTAATTGTTTTCCACTCATAGCGACCCTATGCACAACAGCCCTAAACCCTGCTCTATCCTGCGCCAACCACCAACTGCACTGCCTCTGACACACCCATCCCGATTACCCCAGTCACTGAATCAATCCATCTCATAGAGGGTCTTCCCCTCCTGCAATTAGTGCCTCTGAAAACCCTCTGGAAGGTCAACTGTGGGTCAGTTCCAACTTAAAATTACACAACAACAACATACTTGAGCTTTTGTTACTGACTTAGGCCACTAAGCACATTTTAGATCCAACCATATTGTGTAGTATTATACAACTTTTAGGGTGTTTTTCATATGATACTCCATTGTGTGAAAGCATCCAGTTTCTTTAGGCATTTATTCATTGATGGACATGAATGTTGGGTTGTACCTCTTCTGTCTTTGGTATGTATACATAATAATAGGATTGGCTGCATCAGATGATATTTCTTTTCCCAATTTTCTAAGGAAATACCAGACTGCTTTCCAGGTTGGTTGCATGCTTTTATATACCAACCAGCAGTATATGAGAGTTCTAATCTCTCTATACCCTTACCAGCATGTGCTGTTAGATTTATTATTAAACATTACTATTTTTGCTATGATAAGATGGTATCTCCTCTTTGGAGAAGAATATCATGCTTGAAAGGATTAAGGGTCAACACAGGAGAGAAAGACCCCAGATGTGATAGATTGACACAATAACTGGGGTTATGGGTGTCGGTGTGTCAGAGACAGTGAGATTGGCTCAGGATAGGGCAGTTTTCAGAGCTGTTGTACACAGTGTCACTTTGAATCACAGATGACTAGATGGCACACAACAACAGTAGAATAGTTATCTTGAGCATTTCTTTCTCTCTCTCTTTTTTAAAATTCTTATTGTGTATTATCAAATTGGATCTGACTGGTACAAAAGGAGATTGCCCCTCCTTCTCCAGTGGAACATCTGGTGTATTTGAACCACATGTCTTCAAGATTATACTGCAGCTTCTTGCACTAGGCCACCAAAGCTCCCTATCTTGAGAATTTATTTATGTGTTTGTTGACTATCAGAATGTCTGTGGTGAAGTGTCTGTGCAAGTCTTCTGCCCATTTTGTAATTGAGTTGCTTGTATTTTCTTGTTGAAGAATTGATGAATTTTAGAGATAAGTCTCTTGTCAGATGTGCCATTCATTTCTAAGTATTTTGTCCCAGTTTGTAGATTCTCTTTTTACTATTTTGGAGATTTTACTCTTGTGTTGTTAGGTACCATTGAGAAGAGTACAACCCATGGTAACTCTCTGAACAACAGATCTGAACCCTCGCCTATCCTATGCCATCCTCACACTTTCTGACACCATAGAGCCCATTGTGACAGTTACTCTGTTGATCCATTTGGTCGAGGGTCTTCCTCTCCTTTGTCAACCCTCTGGCTTTCTGAGCATCATGTCTCTCTCCAAGTATTAGCCCCTCCTTGCAACATGCCTAAAGTATGTGAGCCAAAGCTTTATCATTTTTGCCTCCAGAGGCTGTACTTTCTCTTTAAATTTTAGAAAGTCACTTTTATCTAGTTTATCCTTTGTTACTTGGATGTCAGATTTTATATTCTCCTTAGCCATACTTAATGTTTGCTGCAATATTGTTTCAGTTTTTTTCTACTATTTTATTTTATTTTAGTTTTTAATTTTATGCCAAGGTCCTTGAATTAGGGTTTTTTTTGTTTGTTTGGCAAGAGCCTATGGTGATGAAGGAAGAAGTTCAGGCTGCTTTGAAGGAAATGGCAAAAAATAAGGCCCCAGGAATAGATGGTATACCAGTTGACATATTTCAGCTTACAGATGCTGCCCTGGACGTGCTCATCAAGTTGTGCCAAGAAATCTGGAGAACAACCACTTGGCCAACTGACTGGAAGAGATCTATATTTCTTCCCATTCCAAAGAAAGGTGACCCAACAGAATGTGGAAACTGTAGAACAATATCATTGATTTCACATGCAAACAAGATTCTACTGAAGATTTTCCAAAAACGACTGGAACAGCACATCAGCAGAGAACTGCCAGAAGTCCAGCCTGGGTTTACAAGGGATCATGGTACTAGGGATATTGTACCTAATGTTAGATGGATCTTAGCTGAAAGCAGGGAATACCTGAGGAATGTATATCTGTGTTTCATTGACTGTGAGAAAGCATTTGACTGTGTGGATCATAACATAACTCTGAGAAGAATAGGAATCCCAGAACACTTGATCATGCTAATGAGAAACCTATACTTGGACCAAGAGGCAGTCGTCAAAACAGAGCAAGGAAACACTGCATTGTTCAAAAGTGGGAAGGGAGTATGCCAGGGATGTGTCCTGTCTCCATATCTTTTGAACCAGTATGCAGAACAGATTATCCGGGAGGCTGGACTCTATGAGGAGAAATGTGGAGTCAAGATTGGTGGAAGAGCTATTAACAATCTGCGTTATGCAGATGACACAAGCCTGCTTGCTGAAACTGTGGAGGATCTCACGCACTTGCTGCAGAGGGTCAAGGACTGCAGCCTCCAATATGGATTGAGGCTCAATGTCAAGAAGACAAAGATTCTCACCACTGGACAAATTGGCCACATCAGGATGGATGATGAAGAGGTTGAGATTGTTCACAGCTTTAGTTTGCTTGGCTCCACAGTTAACACTCTTGGCACCAGTAGCCAGGAAATTAAAAGGTTGTATTACCATGGGAAAATCTGCTGTTAGGGACCTCTCCAAAGTACTGAAGAGCAATGATGTCTTTCTGGAGTCTAAGGTGGGTCTGATACAGGCCATGGTCTTTTCTATCACTTGTTATGCATCAGAGAGTTGGACAATGATGAAGATAGGAGGAGAATTGATGCCTTTGAGCTGTGGTGCTGGAGAAGAGTATTGAGAATAACATGGACTGCTAGGAAAACAAACAGGTTTGTCCTGGAATGGGTTAAACCGGGTGGCTCCTTGGAGGCAAGGATTCTGAGGCTCCGTCTAACATACTTTGGACAT